ACTGATGGACAGCACTGCTGAGTGGAACAGGTGGGTGGCACAGGTGGGTGGCACTGATGGGCACAGGTGGGAAGCACTGCTGAGTGGTACAGGTGGGTGGCCTTATGGAGGTGTTTGGCACTGATGGGCACAGGCGGGTGGCACTGATGGGTACTGGAGGGCAGCACTGCTGGGCACAGGTGGGTGGCACAGGTGGGCGGCACTGATCACCAGTGCCCTGATGATCAGTGCCGATTCCTTCGCTGACAATTGCTGGTTCTCGGCAGTACTTTCTCACGCTGTGACAGCGTGAGGAAAGTGCAACCGATAACCGGCAACTGTATTTACCTGGTGATCTGCTATGTCATTGGACACAGCTGATCACGTGGTAAAAAGCCGATGTGATTGGCCATATACCGTACCAAAGCGATCACTGGCGGGGCCGGGTGTGCGCCGCTGGGGGCACATCCTGGAATGATGTCCATGGACGTCGCCCCAGGATTAAACAACCGCGCTGTAGCCGTCCTTTGGCTATAGCGTGGTTAGGAACCAGTTAAACAGTGAGAATATCAAGACAAGAACAATTTCTAAACCTCAAATATCTTTATCTATCTATTTACCCATTCAGTTTTATCCGACTCTTGCATGGACCGTCACTCATAAGGGACTTTTTCCATGAATTCTCTTAGCAATTATTTTTACAGGGTAGGTTGCCAGGTCTTTCCCCAACCCCCACCATGCAGGAGATCCTGCATGGCCAGGGATGAAACTAGGACAATTTAGACAGGAGCCAATTAACCTGCCAGCATGTCTTTGGAGTGTGGGAGGAAACCCATGCAAGCACAGGGAGAACATGCAAACTCCATGCAGGAGGCACCATGGTCGGGAATCAAACCCATGACCCATTTACTGCAAGGCAGACATGCTAACCACTAAGCCACTGTGCCACCCCAAATATCTTTATAGTTGCACCAAATAGTCTTGTATGCCAGTCAGTGATAAGGACAATGGCTACTCTCAAAATTTCCTTAAAAAGGAAACTGGAGAGGGGCATAATAGCATTGGTATACAAATGGCCTGCTTGGGCCATTGGTCCAGTATACAGACCCAATAACCCAAGGGGCCAATGATTAGTGCATTTGTCAGGACCAAAGGGAAGTCCATTGAAGACACTGCCTTTGATTTTGGTCATAGCTACAAATTGCTTACTCCTTTCTCTTCTCAGCTGTACTATTTTACCAGCTTCCCTCAAAGCTACACTATCCCTTTAAGTGTCTTTTTTTTCTCTTTTCTGTAGTCATTTTCCATGGTGGAGGTTTAATCACCATTGATCTATCCCTTATCACACCTTCTGTCTCATCTTACTGTCAATGCTACCCCCCACTTCTGGCATTTTCTCCATAATTTTATCAGTTTCCCTCTTGTGCACCTTCTTGCTCCTTCTCTTCATAATTATCCATGTTTCATTTTCATTTCATTTCTCTTTCTGTTCGAAGTTCCTAATGCCACTATTGTGTCCATTAGAACCCCTGTTCTCTCTGTCTCTACTAGAACTACTCTCGTCTTCCACCTTGCATAGCGCTTTAGACCTTCAATGGACAAGACTGCTGAAATTACAGGAACATGAATGGCGCATCAAAGGATACTTTATTCATGCAATTGCAGTTGACCTTCTGACCTGCATTTGACCTGCTTCAAGCGGGTTTTGCATTCCTATAGACTTGTATGAGAAATCAAATTCCTCTTTAAGGGACCAGAAGCCAACTTAAACAGGGGGTTATAGTGCCAAAATCATCTTAACACTAAGGTAAGCCATAGATTATGCATTTTTCTTTCCTTCCACCGTGTTTGCAAGGAAAAAAAAACAGCTCAATTCCCCCATCAACACACGAAATCCCTCCTGCAATGCTATTGTGTTCTGCCGGTGTAGCTTTCTCTGCCAGCAGAACACAATTGGTGTTGTTGACTGTAGCCGGTGGCCCTAATCATTTTGAGAAAAACCCCACAAACTGGTTGTATACAAGTTGATCTATACATCAACTTGTGTACAATCAGCCAGGCCATACATAGGTCAATATTCGGCTGGTCCCTGCTGAACCTGAAATTTCAGTCCATGTATGGCCGGCTTTAGCCTTGATCTTGCATTTCACTGTGTTCTGCTTGTTCAGAAAGCTTCAGTTCTACATCACACAAATGAAGAAGGGGTATAAACTGGTGTTCCTCACAGACATGAGAAATCTACATTTTGTTCTGTCTTTCCTGCCTAATGATCCCCTGCCTCCTTTCTCCTCCCTTAAATGTAATTTGCTATTGCTGTCTCCTGTTTCCCCACCACAACCTGTGCCCACCGTCTACTTTCCCCCGCTCTGTACTGTAAGCTATTTCTAACACTCTCTCTTTCCCCATCCTATCCTCTGTTCCTCCAGATTGTAGTCTTGTCCTGGATTTCTTCATAGCTGATACACAATCTGCCTTGCCGATGTCTGTCCCAAAATACCCTTTCCCATGCTCTTTACCCCAAATGGTCCAATCTCTTCCAGCTGACTTTTTTCACATACATAAGAAAATGCCCATCCTCTGATCTTCTGATTCCTCTCCTACACAGCCCCCACTTATTATTTTCAAAGCTTAAATTAAAATCCATATTGTGTCTCCCAGGGGCGGACTGACAACTCATGGGGCCCCCGGGCAATAGGGGATCATGGGGCCCCTGTGTCCTTGCCCAAACTCAAAAAAGTCTATGAAAAAGGTACCATGGGCATCTCATGGGGCCCCCTATTGACCCCGGGCCCTCGGGCAGTGCCCAAGTTTCCAAATGGTCAGTCCGCCCCTGGTGTCTCCATTTATTTACTTTACAACTGTTGTTGGAAATGGCATTCACTTCTCTATGCTTGGTATATCATAGCTGCCTGGTCTGATCTTAAATGTTTTGAGAACTGCTGGTAATAATCATGAATGTTTGGGGTTTCGAAGGCACCCTTTATTGGCTAACATAGGTTAATTAGGATGCACATTTTTGGGATGTAATAGATAATTTCTCCAGGCTTTACAAATTGTACAAACCCTGAGGAACAGATCTAATTCATTCCAAAAACCTGCATCTTTAATAACAGAGACTCCAACTTTCTGCAATAATCTTTGACTATTCGGGTACAAAACTCTACTACTGGTAATAATCATTATTGGTAGATTACAGGGAGTTACATCTTTGATTAACCATGGGGTCTGGGTGAACTCTTCCACCATGGTGGAAATCTCTTTCAACTAATCCTTAATGGTTAAAAATATGAAGATCCATTCAGTGGGCATACGTAATGGGGAGAGATTGTCACTGTATATCACAGAAGAATGTAATTGTTTATATAATTCTTTAATTGCAGCCTCCTTTAAGATAAGCTCTGCCTATGTACATATTCTTCAATACCCCAGCCTATGTGTGGACTGACAAAGTTTTTTTTTATTATTTGCAAACATTAAAATCTTGTGCAAAATAAAAAAAAAAAAAAATATATATATATATATATATATATATATATATATATATATATATACATATATGCAGGCTACTGAATACGTTTGCTTTCCTGGTTTAACCACCAACTATTACTTGCTTTGCAGATTATAATTAACTATAATGCATTATTACAGAGAAAACAAAATCCAATTTGCCCCAGTGGGGGGGGATACTTCCTGATCCTCCAGAAAGCAATTGGATATTCCCTGGATCATCTACCCCTTAATATTACAGAGAAACACTTTACTACCAAGTAATGAAATATTTTATGGGTTAAATATTTTTTACTTATCTCATTACATCTTATTGCAAGTCAGCTTGGTGCTTGTACTTATTAAATACATAAACATTTCTCAGATCGCTTGGGACTCTGATAACAATTATGCAAGGTCTGTGTATATCTCTAGATCTTTATATAATAACTCATAACTATATAGGAAAAAAAAACTTTAGCTGCTGACTGGATGTAATTGTAGCAGGACTGCATTCCAAGCTGATTTCTGATCATCTGCTTACTGAATATAATTTTATAAACCCAAACATGATCAATATACAATGTGTTTGTATTTCACAATTAATCCTTTTACACCCCCATCTTTCTCCTACATACATTGCTGAAAGATTTGAAAATGGGCTGATTTTAAATTATAGCTTTAAAACATTATCTTAAACTCAAATATATGCTTAGAACACTTAAATTATCATTTGCGCTGATGCATTCTTACCTCCAACATCCAAGTCAGCCTTGTAATTGATGAAATGTGTGTGAATAGTTCCCAGTGTATGGGGCCCCACTCGATGTCCATGTTCTACACCGTTTTCCATAAAAAATGATGTGCTGATATATCCTGTTGCATGAACCTTTGATTCTATAGCCCCATTTTGATAGAATACATATTCAAACACATAGTCGTAGTTGCCTAGCGTGGCAACAGTTCTTATGACAAGAACAGTGTTGACCAAACCGCCATAAAAAAAGAGCCCAGATTTGAAAAGTGACGTCTCAAAGGAATGCCAGAGTTGAACTCAAAGACACATATGGATCCTTTGTTTAGTACCGTTTTATCTGAATCAAGCAAGTAATGGGTGTCTAAATAAGTAGCAAAGTAAGGACAGTCAACACCACGAACCAGTTGGTAGACAGAACGCCCAATACCAAAGTGTCCATCCATATACCTTGTTGACATACCAGTTGGGGCATTGGAACCATATATACTGATTGCTTCTTGGACACCAAGCTCATAGACAACTCTTTCACCCTTGAATTTAATATCATATAGTCTGAGTCCTGTGTTTGCATTTAACCCGAATGCGAAACTCCAGTGTTGGAATAACACCTGATTATTTCTGACACTGTAGCGGGCACTTTGTGGCTCATATTGCATGGGTATATCAGATATTGCATGTTTTTGAGGCTTCAGTGAACCTATGTCATCTTTGAGATGTGGCTTTTGCATCTTAACTGTCTTTAAACTTCCTCTTTTATATTGCTCCTCTAATTTCAGAAAATGTGTCAAAATACTGACCATTATAAAATACTTTATCCACTGTCCACTTCTTTTTATCAAAGTGTTTGTGGTTTACCAATAGCTCTAATCCAATTGGGTGTAGGAAATAGCCACTGCCCCGGGTGTTATAGAAAAGAGCAAACCAGGTGCTTCGGTCTCCAGATCGTAATCCTCTTGGAGCACTGGTCAAACCAATGAAGTATTCAATATCAGACTCATTATGGCCAAACACTTCTTTGAGGAAACTTTTTGCTTTGGGAAACTCCTTGGCATATAAAAAGTTTCTTATCTGAGTGTATTCATTGCCAATTACAGGTCTACGATGGTAAGGAAGTTTGCCTTTGTATTTTTTGGCAGTAATATCATTAAAATTGGTTGGTTTTGGAAGGGGTCCCACTGCATACTCTTTAATTTCTGGTTCTTGATGGCTTCCAAAATAAACTACTACCAATGCTTCTCTTCTGGGTTTGGGTCCTCCCTTATCTAAATACAGTAAGGCATCTTGTTTTGTTGGTGGTAGAAGCTCCACTGAATATATGCAGTTGGAAGCAGGTTCAGCCTCAGAAATGTCCACTAGATTTTCTTGGAGAGTTTTCTTTAAATAGCTGACCACTTCATCAATTTCTTCAGGTGTGAGATCCGCAAAAATCAAACTCTTGTCATGGTGCTTTAGGAGCAAAACTTTTTCATTTGCCAAACTGCAGGATTTGGGTTTTGGATCAAACACAATGATCAGCACCAAAGCTAAAATTGTTAGAATGGCAAGAATCAAAATTGCTGTAACCACTTTAACATTCATGTTTAGTCGTAGTAAACCAGCTCCACTGCAGAATTGTGAACATCCAGGCTTGACTTGGCACAGAAAGAACTTTGCTTACTCATTCCCAGCCTTTTTAACTTGCTGGATAGGAGAAACCTGGAAAACTGCTAAAAAGGGAGGGGGAAGGAATTGGATGCTGTAGGAATAGAGATCATGTGATTTATATTGGAACTTTTCAACTGAGACCCCTTGGCAACCTCTCATACATCATAACTATATCCTGTTTTTTCTCCTCTCAAATTCCACATTTTTAGAGGCAATTACATTTTAGTAATAAACCTCAAATATGTTGTATAGTGCTTTTGTTGTTTTGCAAATATTATATTCCTTTAATAAGCAAATAAGTATGATTTTCAAATGGAAACAATCTAATTTGTTAGAACACAATCTTTCACTACTCTATTATTTTTAACAATTTTCTTTTAAAATGTTTGATGTTAGCATTATAAACCTATACATTTTTATAGTATTGAATCTTTGTGTGCAAATAAAATGTATATATATATATATATATATATATGTATAGTTAAAAGTGCTTGTAAACCCTTTACATATATCCAGTAAAATGATTATCCTCAAGTGATACACAGAGAGGAATGAAATTATTATTAATATTATTACAGGTACTTATATAGCGCCATCAATTTAGGCAGCGCTTTACATATATATATTGTGCATTCACATCAGTCCCTAACCCTCAAGGGGCGTACAATCTAAGGTCCCTAACTCACATTCATACATATACTAGGGCTAATTTAGACAGGATCCAATTCACCTACCAGCATGTCTTTGGACATAATTTGTACCTGCTGCCATGTCTTCTCTACAGGCTTCTAAAACACACAGATCAAAGGGTTTTTCTTAGCTCCAGGAAGCAGGGGGTGGAGAGTGAAATCACATATTGCACAGAGCTCAGTGTAATCTGAAACCTGAGTTGAGGAAATGGACACATTCCCTCTGCACATTGATAGGAAAACTTGGACAATCAATCACCTGCTGTGTGCTGGAGGGGTCATCACCTGAAATTGTCTGGTGTTGACTCATGCAGAGAGAAGTGACTGGAAATGTGGATTGCAGAGGACGAATATAGCAGAGATAAATTACACTCGGTGCTTTGGATGGAGGTAAGTACACGCTATAGAAGGATATTGTTAATGTTAATTTTTCATGTCTGAGGTTTACAGCCAATTTAATTATTGTGCATATTTTAAACCAGTAACAGCTGTTTTTTTTGTTTTTGTTTTTATCACACATTCATGATTCTATTATTTATTTGAGCAAGATATTTTAAAGATTGCCGTAAACTAGTAATACTGATTTTTTTTTTTACATTTTCTGATTAAAGAACATTCCTTCTTTTCTAATTTTCTAATCTTTACTTGGATCAAGTGAATGTTTTCAAATGCAGTCATAAGAAAACTTTGAGGATCACGAAGGAAAATGTTTCTCAAACCAACATTTTTTAAGATGGTATGTGGATTTAATTCTGGAAAAGTCCCTTCATGCCAAAATTGAAAGTTAACAACAAATTTTGCAGTACTTTCAAATGACTTTCATTATAACGAATATACAAAACGAAACCCGAAGAAACTAAACAGATTCCAAAAACAAACCAGGCCGGCATAACGAAAATTTACCAACCTAATGAATGCATCCGAAACTAAACAAAATTTTGCGGTGCAAACATGTCTACTTTTTGGTAAACCCAAAGATTGAGCTGATTATCATTAATGTAATCCAGAAATCTACCTAAAGCCTCTGTCTCGCCATACTGTACCATTAACAGATATAACAACCATAGCAGTGTATGAACTGCTTAAAAGGATTATGTGGGGAGAACAGGAATAATTCTTCCCACCACCCCATGTACGAATTGGCCATGGAGTGAGAAGATTTCCTCCATCAATGGCTCATAAGGCATGGAGATAATATTGACCATCAAACATAAAAAAGAGTTAACAGGAATTCCACTGATAAATGTAAGAATTACTAATTCTGATGAATAGAAACTATACTTAGGTAAGTGATATTTGATGGCATTAATCACAGCTCTGTGGAAATTGACTTGAAATTATTGGAAAGAAGGAGGCATTTATTGAGAATAATGACAAGTACATCAAACCAACGTGTTTCGGGAGGAAAGACTTTCCCTTCTTCAGGGCTGTTGCTGCACGCTTCTAAATGGAAAGATTCCCCCGATAGTTATATATTTTATAGGTTTTGAAGGAAATATATAACCATCATGGCAATCTTTACCACTTAATAGTGTGCAGCAACAGCCCTGAAGAAAGGAGAGTCTTCCCGAAACGCATTGGTATGATGTACTTGTCATTATTCTCAATAAATGCCTCCTAATCTACCAGCAAAAGTGCATTCTTTTGGACACTGGACACTCCTTCTTTCCTAAAATTCGATGTCTATGTGTGGAAACTACTTTAGCAACTGCCAGTATCAGCCATTGGGCACAACTAGAGGGACATCTCCCAACCTACTCACACAACCACCCAAGCACGACCAGTGACTGATCCAGTCAGTCCAGCGCGGTCTTCAGCACAAACTATGGGGAATTGAGGAATAAAAAAACACGGATATCCAAGGCCACTCACTAGAATGCACAGGTCCAATGTAGAAAGGCCACCTGGGACAAAACAAGATTTGTGTCCTGAATGTAGCGTGGCAATTGTAATACCAGGGGTCGCAAATGCATGTCTACCCATTCCCCTAATCATTCTAAAAGTAAACCTAGGGTCAATTTGTGAATTTTGAGTAGATGGTGAAATATAGGGGTAGCAGAATGCTCCCCATAGAGATACTCTGCTGTTTTAGGAATTAAAACTCCAATATCCTTGCCTCTGTGGAGAAGACCTGTCATATCTGCTTTAAAACCTGGAAGTAGGGTTGCCAGGGAGGGGTGATAGGTATCATTATCATTCAATTGAGGTAAAGCTTCCACGCATTATTGCTCTTTATTGAAAACAACCACAACCTTAAAAGACACAAAGAAATACATGGCATGAGCTTAGGAAGAACAATTAGTTTGGAAGATGTTAAGTGAAATCTTAAAGTAAATTTCCACTTTTGTATCCATACTGGGATAACACCTACTTTATATTAGCTACATGTTCCAATTAACATATCACAACATAAAAAAATAAAAAATCACTCTTAAGTGCTCTTCGTCCCCTTGTGGCATTTTTTCACCAGCTGACACCAATGATGGGGCAACATTCCCTTTACTGGCACCATCAATATGGCAGTATTCTTCTCATTCATACCAGAAATGAGGCACTTTTCCTCCCATTAAAGCCAATGATGGAGCATTGATCCTGGGCATTCTCTGCTCCCACTGGCCAAACTCCAGCCCCCCTGAAGCCTGAAGGACAGTAAAACTGGCACTTTGCTTAAAAAGTTTGGAGACCCCTGATAGTACATTATACTTTCCAAATCCCAAAAGTCATGACTTTCTGTCATGCATATTCACACATACACAAAAGGGAAGTGCAGGAAAAGAGAAAGATAGTGGAAAGTTAAAAATCTCCAATTGGTTGCACAGGAGCACCGCAGCTATTGGAGAACGAACCTTAACAGATTCAACAATCAAAGGGTGCAAGAGCAGACAATACTTTTTTAATCTCTGTAAATATATAGTGAGTATAGTACACCATAGAATACAAAAACCTAAGAATAAGTAACAGAAGGCATGATGTCTTGACAGGACATGAGGAAGCAAAAAAAAATAAAAAACTTAAAATGTGGGACAAATCTCTGTAACAGCGAAAACAGGGTCATCCTCATGCACAAGGCAGTTGAATAACTCTCTGGATTAAAGTGGATGTAAACCCTTGCATATACCCAGTGATGTGACTGGCCTCAGGGGATACACAGAAATGAAACAAATCCTTATACATAAGGTGTACCCGTTTATCTGCAGTTTTCTCTTCTCTACTTCTCTTCAAAGTACTGAATTTATAAAGCTTGTCCGAGAGGTCAGAGAGCAGGGGGCGGGGAGCTGAAATTACACACTGCAGAGCTCAATGAGGAGAGCTCTGGGAGCTGATTGGAGGAAAGAGACACGCACCCCTCCACACAGCTCACAGGAACAGAGCTGAGCCTGTCAATCTGCTGAAGGTCTCTCCCGTCACCATTTTTCTCTGGGTGTCAGGAAAACTTGTCAGAAATGACTCATGCAGATAGCAGAGGAACAAAGCAGCAGACAGAAATGACACTTAGTGTTAATAATAAATACAAGTACACATTATAGAGGGATATGCTTTGTTCATATTTCATGTCTGAGGTTTACAACCACTTCACCATTTTCTAACAACTTCTAGAAGTTAGTCCTTATTTTTGTAATTATCAGCAGTTTAAATTTCATGTAATTAGAGAAACCCTGTGAATGAAAACTGCAGGAACAAAAAAATGATGTATAAACTGTAAATGCACTTGCAACGTTTCCTCTCCATAAACAAGTTTCTATTCACTTGCAATGCCTTGCCTTTGAACTTATTAAAAAAACTGACTCCTCCAGGAAGAGTCAATTCCCTAGCACAGCCACCAACCTCCTTGCATGCTATGGCCCTTTTCTCTTCTGGGAGTGTAATTACTCTGGGCACATGTCCAGCTTCTCCTCACCTCCCTACACAACCTATTATATAGCTTCGGGGGAAGGGGTGACGGGGGGGGTGGGCGTGTGGTGAAATATGATAGTGTCACTTGAGTGACAGCTCTGTGCCTGCTGGGGCTGCTGACATTACATCCAAGATGGCGGGGCCCAGCCGCAGTCACAGATCTTCTGGATGTCTACACATAGGAGTTGTTTACAATCAAATACCATGCAAGAAATATTTTAAAATACTTATATAATCTTATAGAAAAATTTAGCTAAAATGAATGGTTTGGCAATAAGGGCTCTTTAAAGGGTCAGCCAATTTTTTCTAATGGAAAAAAAATGTCCTTCCTTTTCCCCAAAGACAGTTTGATCATTTGCTGGATCAGCATTCTCCAGTATTATTCCATATAATTATTAGCAGGCGGGTAATAATAAATGGAGAGTATCCAAAGAACTACAACAGCAACAAGACAAGAGCATGCATACCTCATGCAATAAAACAACATTTATTAAGAATAAAAAACAACGTGGCAACCCACAATTTCCCAACTTTTATCAGTGCACATTAGGCCAGATTCAGGGGCGAACTGACCATTTGGAAACTCGGGCACTGCCCGAGGGCCCGGGTTCAGTAGGGGGCCCCATGAGATGCCCCTGGTACCTTTTTCATAGGCTTTTTTGAGTTTGGGCAAGGACACAGGGGCCCCATGATCCCCTATTGCCCGGGGGCCCCATGAGTTGTCAGTCCGCCCCTGGCCAGATTACACTGTGGCTGGTAGGGGGCTGAGATTGTCCATAGAGGGCTGTAAGTTCCTCCAAAAATGCAAGAGGAGTCGACAATAGCATGCTGGCTGCAAATGACTCTCTATCTATCTCTGGCCTGATGTATGCTGGTACAAGTTGGGAAATTGCAAATTGTCCTCTTTTCTCTGGAGATAGACTCACAGTAAAAGGCCAACGAGAACCAAGGGGGATAGAAATTAGTCTCCAGCCAAACAAAAATTTGCATTGCTATCTCTGCCTGTGTTTGTGTGACCGGGGCAGGGACAGCCTTACAAGGAAAAACGTAATCCTTACTTTGCTGGTACTATCCATACTGCTACCGTCTTTTCTTATCATTCTATGTGGTCGGTGGGTTATGGGATATTAGCTGTGGGCGAATTATGCAATGATATCATACAAGATACATTTTAGAGATGATGTGATGTTAACCCCTTGCCTACAGGGCACTTATACCCCCTCCCTGCCCAGGCCAATTTCCAGCTTTCAGCGTTGTCACTTTGAATGACAATTGCGCAGTCATGCAACACTGTACCCATATGAAATTTTTATCATTTTTTTGTGACAGATAGAGCTTTATTTTGGTGGTATTTTTTATTTTTTCTTAAACAAACCAAAAAACCACTGAAAATTTTGAAAAAAAAAACATTTTTTTCTTAGTTTTTGTTATAAAATTTTGTAAATAAGTGATTTTTCTCCTTCACTGATATACGCTAATGAGGCTGCAGTGGTGGGCACTGATAGGCTGCACTGATGGACACTGATAGGTGGCACTGATGTGCACTGATGAGGAGGCACTGGTAGGTGGCACTGATGGGCATTGACAGGCATCACTGATGGGGACTGAAAGGCAGCACTGATACATGGCACTGATATATGGCACTGATAGGCAGCACTGACTGGCACTGATAGGTGGCACTGATTGGCAGCACTGATAGGTGGCACTGATTGGCATTGATAGGTGGCACTGATTGGCAGCACTGACTGGCACTGATGGGTGACACTGAAAGGCAGCTCAGATGGGCACTGATATGTGGCATTGATGTGGCACTGATGGGCACTGACACAAGGCACTGATGGACACTAACAGGTGGCACTGCTCGGGCTACACTGATCATCAGGGCACACTGATCATCAGTGCCCTGATGATCAGTGTAGATGTCCCCTCCAAGGAAAGCCAATTACCGGCTCTCCTCTCCTCTCGAGCTGTCAGCGTGACAGCTCGAGAGAGAAATGCTGATAACCGGCATTTCCCTGTTTACATGTCATCAGCTGTGATTGGACACAGATGATCACATGACTGAACCAACATCTTCGGCTTTTTCCGTGATTGGTGATTCCGCTGTGTCCGAGGGACACAGCGCACGGCCGATTGCCGCGCTGCGTGCTCCCTGAGCCGCGCATGAGCGGTAAGAATGGGAGGACGTCATATGACGTCCTCCCAGAATAAGAGAACCAACTTGCGTCAGTCATTGGACTATATGGCGGGTGGGAGGTGGTTAATAAAGGAACATTGATTTTATCCTTTTGTGTACTGAGTTTCTGTGCCCAGAAAGTCCATTTCCATATTCTTCCCTTCAATATTCTATACTGGGACGTGGCACTCTGTTACCTATCTGGATTGACCTCCTACTACCCGAGGGTCACCCCCAACCTTCCAATATATTACAAGAAAAAAAAAATTAAAATTGTAGAAAAAAAAAGTTTAAAAAGTTTTTAAATATGTAAGTTAAAAAAATGTACAGGGGATACGAACAATTTACTATGGGGCTGTGCAAACCAGAAACTTCATAATAAATATGCAAGGAGTTGCAGTGAATGAATTCTTGGGTGATCACATCAAAACCTTTCTGCAGTAGTTGTTTGCCAGGCTGGGTTGTGGGCATGTTGGAGCAGTATTGTTGCTTTAAGAGCTGCAGCTGCTCTCTTTGCTTACTCCATGTTATGCCAGTTATACACAGTAACTCAAAAAAGCCCAGTTACATTATGCCTGACCTGTATTTCTGCTGAGGGCACACTATGGGGTTTTTCTATTGTATCACCAAACAATTCTTTGTGATTGCAGATCTTTTCTTGGTCTACCTGGCTTTGTCTTGTTATCAAAGAGTATCACCAAATTTTTCCACCTTCTTAATATAGTTGATTGATACAGTACTGTCAGTTAAAAACCATGAAATATTTATGGCTTGTGTATATCTTTTTACATCCTTTTCCATCTTTATACCAGTTCCCTTTACCTGTTACGCCCAGGTTTTTTGGTACAGTTCTTTTTCTCCTCTGGCTCAATTACCAAAACAAAAACGCATTTCTATTTATACAATGACACCTAATTTGGGGCCCCAATATTATAACGCCACAGATGTGGGAAGGGAAATTTACTTTAGATTTGCCATTTTTAGCCCATGTGTGTCACCTTGTGTGTCTGCACCAAGTCCAAAACATTCCAGGGTATGGAAACTTTTGATTAGGGCCATTTAGGGTGATTTCTGTTTATCCATTATGATTTTAAAACAAGGAGCAAAAAACATCTATGTGATGATAAAATGGCTTCTTACGATTCACTATTAGAGATGAGAGAATCGAACCAGGCGAACCGGAATTCGTAGTCGAATTTCAGGAAATATTCGATTCGCGTGCGAGAAACCGAAAATTTTGCCTACTTCGGTGGTCGCGGTGCTGCGAATCGAAACATTTCCCGATCAGCCGGCAAAAGTGTCCCTGCAGTGAGCTCCGCTTATTTCTGAACAGTTCTCTGACTGAAGGAGAACACATGTTTAGCGGTTTGAAAAACATTTGTATCTATTAGTTTCACATTTAGGATACAGATGTTTCATACACTGTTTCATGTGAAGTCAGCTGTGAGAGAGAACTGTCAGAAAATCGAAGGAAACTCTGCACATTACACTTTTTGCCGGCTTGGGAATTATTATTCTTCTTCATCCTACCTTTCTTCTTCTTCTTCCTCTTCATCCTCTCTAGAAAGAGCGATGAGGATGAGGTTGAAGAAGAAGAAGGGGGGAAGATAGTAGGATGAAAAGAAGAATAATTCCAAGCCGGCAAAAAGTGTATGTGCAGATTTCCTCTATTCTGACAGTTCTCTAACAGATATGATACAGCGGTTGAACAATCTGTATACTAAATGGAATACACTAATAGATACAATTTTGTATCTATTAGCTTCATTTAGGATACACATACACGTTGTACATTGGTTGTGAGAGAACTTTAATAGAGGAACTCGTATTTTTTGCCGGCTTGGAAATTATTCTTCTTTTCTTCTTTCTTCTTTCAACCCTCATCCTCATCCTTGCTTCTTCTGTGGGATGAGGTGTGGATGAAGAGTAGAAGAAGGTATGGATGAAAAATAAGAAATAATGAGGAAGAAGGCAAAAGAGTGTATGTGCAGTGTTCCTCTATTCTGTAGGATGAAAATAGGGAGCTCTGACATACACTGGTTTTGCACTGTTTGGAATTAAGTGTATTTTCATCCTACTTCTTCTTCTTCTTCTTCTTCTTTGATCCTCATCGCTCAGAAGATGAAGAAGAGGATTGAAAAGAAGATACAGAAGAATGGAAGGAAGTCCAAGAAGTAGGATGAAAATAAATAGTTGCAATTTATGCAAAAAGTGTTTGTGCAGTTCACTCCATATTCTGCAGATTTTAACACTGTATGGAGGGAGCTGTGCACATTCACTTTGTGCAGAAATAGACTATTTTATTTTCATCCTACTTCATCTGGGACTTCATCTTCTTCAATCCTCATCAGCGAAGTTGAAGACAGAGGTATGAGGGATGATTTGTGAAGAATAAAAGAAATCCTGATTTATAAGAATTTATTCAAACAAATACATACAAGTGTATGTGCAAGCCTCCTATGGAAGTGTACAGTCCCAGAACTCCTCATTAAGTGTATTTCTGACAGATTCCAGATGGAATTCCTCTGCACACACACTTTTTGCCGGAAACAGCTGTATGGAGGGAATGTCCCAGAACTGTCAGAAATAGTCTATTTCTGACTAGTTCTGGGACATTCACTCCATACAGCTGTTTCAAACCGCTGTATGGAGGGGAATGTCATAGAAACTGTCAGAAAAAAGACTATTAATGACAGTTCTGGGACTGTCCTTCCATACAGCGGTTGAAACATTGTATGTATTCTGTTTCCATAAATGGATCCATTTATGGAAAACAAATAGATACAATGTTTCAACCGCTGTATGGAAGGACAGTCCCAGAACTGTCATAATAGTCTATTTCTGACAGTTCTATGACATTCCCTCATACAGCGGTTGAAACAGCTGTATGGAGGAATGTCCCAGAACGTGTCAGAAATAGACTATTTATGACAGTTCTGGGACATTCACTCCATACAGCGGTTGAAAAACTTGTATCTATTTTTTTCCATAAATGACATTCTGCAGATACACTTAGAGGAGCGCTGCAGATACACTTTTTGCCGGCTTGGACTTGGATTATTCTTATTTTCATCCTACTTCTTCTTTTTCTTCTTATGAGGATGAAGAAGAAGAAGTAGGATGAAAATAAGATTAATTCCAAGCGGCAAAAAGTTGTATCTGCAGCGTCCTCTAAGTGTATTTGCAGAATGTCATTTATGGAAAAAAATAGATACAATGTTTCAACAGCTGTATGGGAAGGACAGTCCCAGAACTGTCATAAAATAGTCTATTTCTGACAGTTCTGGGACATTCAACTCATACAGCTGTTTCAACACGCTGTATGGAGGGAATGTCATGGAACTGTCAGAAATTAGACTATTTCTGACAGTTCTGGGACTGTCCTTCCATACAGCGGTTGAAACATTGTATGTATTTGTTTCCATAAATGGATCCATTTATGGAAACAAATACATACAATGTTTCAACCGCTGTATGGAAGGACAGTCCCAGAACTGTCAGAAATAGTCTATTTCTGACAGTTCCATGACATTCCCTCCATACAGCGGTTGAAACAGCTGTATGGAGTGATTGTCCCAGAACTGTCAGAAATAGTCTATTTCTGACAGTTCTGGGACATTCACTCCATACAGCTGTTTCAACCGCTGTATGGAGGGAATGTCATAGACTGTCAGAAATAGACTATTAATGACAGTTCTGGGACTGTCCTTCCATACAGCGGTTGAAACATTGTAGTATTTGTTTCCATAAATGGATCCATTTATGGAAACAAATACATACAATGTTTCAACCGCTGTATGGAAGGACAGTCCCAGAAACTGTCATAATAGTCTATTTCTGACAGTTCTGGGACATTCACTCCATACAGCTGTTTCAACCGCTGTATGGAGGGAAATGTCATAGAAACTGTCAGAAATAGGACTATTAATGACAGTTCTGGGACTGTCCTTCCATACAGCGGTTGAAACATTGTATGTATTTGTTTCCATAAATGGATCCATTTATGGAAACAAATACCATACAATGTTTCAACCGCTGCATGGAAGGACAGTCCCAGAATACTGTCATTAATAGTCTATTTCTGACAGTTCCATGACATTCCCTCCATACAGCGGTTGAAACAGCTGTATGGAGTGAATGTCCCAGAAACTGTCAGAAATAGACAGAAACTGTCACAGAACTGTCCTTCTTCTCATCCTTCTCCTTCTTCTCATCCTTCTTCTCATCCTTCTTCTCATCCTTCTCCCTTCTTCTCATCCTTTCTCTTCTTTCTCATCCTTCTCCTTCTCCTTCTTTCATCCTTCTCCTTCTTCACATCCTTCTCCTTCTCCTTCTTCTCATCCTTCTCCTTCTCCTTCTTCTCATCTCCTCTTCTCCTTCTTCTCATCCTTCTCCTTCTCCTTCTTCTCATCCTCTCCTTCTCCTTCTTCTCATCTTCTCCTTCTCCTTCTTCTCATCCTTCTCATTCTCCATCTTCTCATCCTTCTCCTTCTCCTTCTTCTCATCCTTTCTCCTTCTCCTTCTTCTCATCCTTCTCCTTCTCCATCTTCTCATCCTTCTCCTTTTCCTTCTTCTTCATCCTTCTCCTTCTGCTTCTCCTTCTCCTTCTCTCCTTCTTCTCATCCTTCTCCTTCTTCTCATCCTTCTCCTTCTTCTCATCCTTATCCTTCTCCTTCTTCTCATCCTTCTCCTTCTTTCTCATCCTTCTCCTTCTTCTCATCCTTCTCCTTTTCTCATCCTTCTCCTTTCATCCTTCTCCTTCTTCTCATCCTTCTCCTTCTTCCTTCTCATCTTCTCCTTCTCCTTCTTCTCATCCTTCTCCTTCTCCATCTTTCATCCTTCTCCTTTCTCCATTCTTCCTTCATCCTTCTCCT